AAAGCTTTCTCTTTAAAATGATGTATAATAATTGTTGGGTTGGATTGGAAAAATATAGAGAAAAAAAAAGTTGAAATAAAACTTACATTTTCGTATAACCTAAGAGTGTCAAAAAAGATGCTATTTTAAAAATTCCTGGAAGCCGTATTTATTGAAGTTAAGGAATGAAACTTATTTTAAATTAAAGCTCAAAGTTTTCTCTTTGAAATGATGTATAATAATTGTTGGGTTGGATTGGAAAAATATTAAGAAAAAAATGTTGAAACAACACTTACATTTAAAAGAGTCAAAAAAGATGCTAATTTAAAAATTCTTAGAAACCATGTTTATTGAAATTCAGGAATGAGACTTATTTTAAATTTAAGCTCTATGTTTACTTTTTAAAATGATCCGTAATAATCACACCTAATAACCATTTATCAAAGAAATACCTTCTTGAACAACAAAATTCAACAGCACCATTTTTCACTAAACTTCTAACCTCATATCTGGATGAATAAGTTTAAGTGTACCTTAAAAATCCTACAGTGCGGATTGCGACGTTTTTTATACAGATTATTTCTTGTATACACTTGTATAGTAGAAAGTACAGACAGCTTTAAATGCGCTGAATAGATAACTACAGTTTAAAATGAGTGTTTAAAATTACCGGTACTTTAAAGTACCGTCGGGACACAAAGGGTTAATCCCTTGCGACCTGTAAATAACCTTTTAAAGTATTTGATAAATAAATAAATAATTACATAAATTTTATTATAAATAAATATTAACGATTTTTCGCTGCTTAACCTCTCCTAAATTTGACAATGTTTGACATATAACCTCCATTACTAACCTAACATACATTTAAATGTATGTGGTGAAATAATCTAAGTCGTACGTCCATATCTTAATTCATACCATTTTTAAACGTCAAGTCACTGCCAGCTCTCGTGGTTTCTACTATATATACTTTTTTTATTGCACTAAAAGTAAAAGTAACACTAGACCTAGAAGTTGAAACATTCGAATTTAGCCTTCTTAACAAAGGTACTTTTGGTTATAACAAACACTCCCTTTCCCATATTAATCCGTTATATCGAAATTTTACTGTATTATTGAATCAATCAATCATTTTAATTGAAAGAAAAATCCCCTTATAACTTTTTATAAAACACTTTGGGATTTCTTTCTTATCGGTAAAGGTTATTCAACCAGTTTATTATTTATGTCCGTTGCGGTTATGACGTAAACACAACCGTTGGCTGAGTTAATAGTCACGATTTTTCTGCGTCCATTCTTTAAAAAGATAAACTTGGGGAATCCTCGTCGACTTTAGAACGTCGGGGTATCCCAAAATTCTTATCGCCTCTTCGTTACTATAAAAACGTCTGGATGTTTTCGTTTCAACATCAGTCGCAAACAACTTATTAAGCAATTAATATCTCTCGAATTTTAAACTTTAAAAATTTCAACGATGAATTTCTATCGTATCTTCGTATTCGTTTTAATCGCTCTCGCTTTAATGTGTGGTCAAACCGATGCTGGATCGAAACGATGGAGAAAATTTGTAAGTAAATTTTAAACCATTTAATAAAGATTAGATGATAAATTAATTTCTTTAGGAAAAACGAGTTAAAAAAATATTTGAAGAAACCAAAGAAGCACTTCCTGTTGTACAAGGAGTGGTGGGTGTTGCTACAGCTGTAGGACGTTAAATAATTATTATCTAAAACTATTTGTATTAACAATTTAGTATGTACTTAAATTAAAATTAATTTATTTTCGATTTAACAAAAAAAATCGTATTATTTAATCCCGCTAAATATATGTTGGAGCGTTTTTAATAGACTTGAATATAAATCAAAAATTTTCTAGGGGATTCACTTTATCTAAAAGTTGTCTTTGTGGAAACGTTTTAGTTAAACAGAACCACCCATGAATAACGAATAACCGAGGGAGATGTCTTTGTGCTCGGCGATCCAGAGACATCCCTATTAAAGCTAAACCGGATATAGCTATTTAATTTCAAATGGTTTGCGGTTAAATTTTAATCCATTTTAGTTCCAAATCTCCAAGTTAATTAAAAGAATAAAGTTAGGTAGTAATTACTGGTATATTAAGATATGTACAATTGTATTAAGATTAGTGGTGGAACGGATATCCGGCAACTATCTGGCTTTGGCCGGATATTAAAAACCTATTACTTAGTACTCCACCATTCACAGGAATTAGTATCTCTTTTAGGTATCAAGTTCAACCTCAATAGGACTTTTTTCATTGAATACAACTTTATTTATATCAGGTTTGTCTTTAGCAACCTCATTGTACCAATCCCAATACGATATGTAAAATCTCTTGTTGCAGTTTCGTCTAGTTTCCTTCTCTTCGCTTGTAATTCATCATCACATTCATTACTAACAGAACTGTCGCTGTTATCACTTTCGATTATTAATTAAAGTATCCTTTTCTTAATGCAAAAAGCCGTTTTTAAAAATCACTTTCAGTTCTTGATAATTTTTTCGAATTTTTCAATTTTCACCGATTAAGTTTTAAAAATTCGTATAAAATCCGGTTCTTGGAATATAAGTCTGAAAATTTTCCGAAGTGTTAATAAAAGTGTTCTCTTTCCAATGAACCAACCCGATTTGAAAAATAACTTTCAGTTTTTGAGAAAACTATATTTGAAGTTTTGATAAAATTTTGGATGTTGCAATTTTCATCGATAATTTTCAAAATTCGTTTGAAATTAATTTT